CACAGAAGCATACACATACACACTCACAAAGAGGAAAAGGGGAAAAAAATCATAAATCTTGCTCTCAAAGTCCACCTCCTCAATTGGGGATGATTCGTTGTCTATTCATGTATTCCACAGATGCAGGGTACATCAAGTTGATTGTGGAGCTTTAATCCGCTGCTTCTGAGGCTGCTGGGAGAGATTTCCCTTTCTCTTCTTTGTTCTCACAGCTCCCGGGGGCTCAGCTTTGGATTGGGCCCCGCCTCTGCGTGTAGGCCGCAGGAGGGCGTCTGTTCTTCGCTCAGACAGGACGGGGTTAAAGGAGCAGCTGATTCGGGGGCTCTGGCTCACTCAGGCCCGGGGAGGGAGGGGCACGGAGTGCGGGGCGAGCCTGCAGCGGCAGAGGCCGGCGTGACGTTGCACCAGCCTGAGGCGCGCCGTGCGTTCTCCCGGGGAAGTTGTCCCTGGGTCCTGGGACCCTGGCAGTGGCGGGCTGCACAGGTTCCCCGGAAGGGGGGTGTGGATAGTGACCTGTGCTCGCACGCAGTCTTCTTAGTGGCGGCAGCAGCAGCCTTAGCATCTCATTCCCGTCTCTGGGGTCCGCGCTTTTAGCTCCGGCTCGCTCCCGTCTCTGGAGCTCCTTTAAGCAGCGCTCTTCATCCCCTCTCCTCGCGCACCAGGAAACAAAGAGGCAAGAAAAAGTCTCTTGCCTCTTCGGCAGGTCCAGACCTTTTCCCCGGACTCCTTCCCGGCTAGCCATGGCGCACTAACCCCTTCAGGCTACGTTCAAGCCGCCAACCCCAGTCCTCTCCCTGTGCTCCGACCGAAGCCCAAGCCTCAGCTCCCAGCCCTGCCCGCCCCGGCGGGTGAGCAGACAACCCTCTCGGGCTGGTGAGTGCTGGTCGGCCCTGATCCTCTGTGCGGGAATCTCCCCGCTTTGCCCTCCGCACCCCTGTTGCTGTGCACTCCTCCGCGGCTCCAAAGCTTTCCCCCTCCCCCACCTGCAGTCTCCGCCCACGAAGGGGCTTCCTAGTGTGTGGAAACGTTTCCTCCTTCACAGCTCTCTCCCACTGGTGCAGGTCCTGTCCCTATCCTTTTGTCTCTGTTTATTCTTTTTTCTTTTGCCCTACCCAGGTACGTGGGGGTTTTCTTGCCTTTTGGGAGGTCTGAGGTCTTCCAGCGTTCAGTAGGTGTTCTGTAGGAGTTGTTTCACGTGTAGATGTATTTCTGGTGTATCTGTGGGGAGGAAGGTGATCTCCGCGTCTTACTCTTCTGCCATCTTCCCGGAAGCCTCGGCAGTTAATATTTAATTGAATTTATTTTTAGTATATTTCCTAGAAAAGCAATACATGTCCACTGTAGAAAGCTTTAAAAATAACCGACAAAAACTATTATCCAGAGAACCACTATTTAACGTATACCAAATCTTTATTCATTCAACAGCCATTTTTCAATACCTATTATGTAACAGGTACTGCTTTAGATGTGAAACCTGTTCTTCAGAGTTAACATCCTTCTGTAAATTTAGTGATATGTCATGTCAGCCTCCTATGTGCAGAAATGTGTGTGCTTTTAAAAAGGGACTATGCTTCTTAAAAGTAGCATTGTAATCTGATTTTTCTCCTGTAACATTAAGAGCTTCTTTTGATGCCATTGACCCATATTTTACAGTATTATCTTTAATGGTTGCAGAAGAATTATTTGTGTGAATGTACCATAGTTAATTTAATGAATCTCCTATAGGCAGACACTTTAATTCTTTCTTTTCCAATTCCTGTTTGTACTTAAAATCTGTAACTTGTATATTTTGCTTCTCTTTGATAGTATAACTAATACGACCTCCACATGACATGAAGGCACAGGCAGCTCTGTCTTTCTTCTTCATTCTTATACCATCTCTATGTGGATCTCAAGGTAAGCATCTTTATAATACACCCAAGTGTCAGTTGTTTGTATCATTAGATAGGAACATGAGCCACAAGGCAAGGGAGCTGTTTCCTCTGTAGCCATAGCTTATCAACTTTTCTAACTTTTCTTCTATCTACTCTAAGGTTCTTTCTAATCTGTTATCTGCTACCAAATATAAAATCACTAGAAAGGCAAGTTTGATTGATTGGTTGATTTGGTTTTTTTTTTTTTAAGTGTAAGCTTGGTACTTACTTGACATTTGACAAAAGGCATTATCAGCTTTGCTAGGCCCTGTGGCAGGCATTTTAAATTATCCAATGAAATATTAGAGGTGTTTAGTAGAGCAATTAGGGAGGTCGACAAAAACACTCCTTTTCTTTCCCACCTTTCCATGTCTTTCTTCTCAGCTTGATGCCACGTTCCTCTAGCACTTGGTACAGAGATAGACTAAATCTCTCTAAGGCAAAGTGGGACATAGAGTGGAAAGAGCCTCAGAGGAGGGGGCAGAGGAAAAAGACTTTGTGACAAGGCCATATGAACACCCCATTATCCCATCTAGGGTAGCTTTGAGCAAGGTCAAAGGAGTTTAGTCCATTGTCCGTAAGATAAGGTCCTTTCCAGTGCAAATATCACAGAATTCATAGATAGGGCATATGATCTACTAAAATGTTTTGTGAATTGGTTAAAAAATCTGGATACTGCCTTCAGTGATTATGAAATGGGTAAGTAGATTTTCTTTGCAAAAACCTGATTGTGATGAGTCCATTTGCTTTTTAAAATCACCTTCTGAAGTTGACAGTAAATATATATATATACACACACACACACATATACAAACATATATATTAGGAGGATTGGACCTCTACATTTATATCCAGAATAATATTCCTTAACTATATTTTGATGGACTCATAGTATATCCTGAGAGTTGTCTTAAAGCCAAAATAAATGAATCACTTCATTTCCCCTTTTGGACTCCTCCTCTTATGTGCACCCTTTCTTGAAACTAATGTCTACATATTCCCAACAGACCCCTTAATGCAGCATTGTCTTCTACATGCTCCAAATATTTCCTAACCCAGCCAAGTTAAGTTTATTCTATTCTTTTAGGGCCTGCTAGCTCCAGCTAGCTGGATAAACTAATTTGTTATTGTTATAGTAAGTGTTAAAAATGAATGTGTTCAGGAAATAAAAATCAACAGGAATCTTTAATTTATATAACATACATAATTTCCAGCAACTGTAGCAGGCCAGGATCAGAGGAGAGATGAGACTATTGATCAAGCATGGAACAAAGTTTCTATGCTTTATGCTGTTGTCAATTCTCATGGTTACATTGAATACAACAGATACTCGATTGAAATTTCAGACACTCAAACATAGAGCTTCATGGCTTGTTTCTAGTAATTAGACTAGCAAGTGTTCTTGATAGATGATGTGGTCTGTTAATGATCAGGCTGCTGACCTAGGATAGTTCTTCTAGGTAGTCCTGGTATAACGCTTGATAAGCACCCATCACTAATTCTCTTCATAACTGCTCTTGTTTTTAGATACGTTCTTTTTAGCTTCCATAAGTCATGTTCCTATGAGTGAGCAAATAGTCATTGGAAGACTTGATGAAGATGTAATTCTCCCTTGCTCATTTGAGAGTGCGCCAGATGTTGTAGTTCACTGGAAGAATCAAGATAACTGTGTTTACTTATATTACAAAAACAGTGACCAGTTGGAAAAGCAAGATCCCAGATATGTAAATAGGACATCCCTCTTCCTTGATGAAATTCACAATGGGAATGCCTCCCTATCTTTCAAAAGATTAAAGCTTCAGGATGAAGGAACTTACATATGCTACGTGGGAACATCACTTGGAAAAATCATAAACAAAGTGGTACTAAAAGTGGGAGGTAAGTGTACATATACCATTTTACAAAACATGACAATGATACCATTCCATGTTTTCTGTAATGCCTTCTTCTTAATTTAATATGCTATGGGCTTCCTTCCAAGATAATACATACAAACTACCTCATTATTTTTAATGCGTAGTGTCTCATAGTTTAGACATGCTATAATTGATGCACCCGTTCCTCCATTAGTAAGTATTTAGGTATTTCTAGTGTTTTACGTTACAAAAAATGTTGTGATGAACATCCTTATATTTAATACTGGGAAATGGTCTGAAACAAAAGTATCAGAAGTAAAATTTTAATATGGCACTTATACCAGCAGCATAAGAGTATACATTTTCCCCTTAAGTCTTATCAACACCTAATATTACCCATCTTAAGACATTCTGCCAATATGATAGCTTAAAAATATTGAATTGATTTAAATTACATTTTTCTGTTTTCTAAATGAAGTTAATTGTAATACTATATGCTTTCCTCCTGTTTGTATTAACTTCATTTATCTAATCATTTATTTATTGGGAGGGGCATTTTCTAATGGGTTGTTTTATCTAGCTCATGTTCTTTCTCCCTCTGTTCCATTTATCTGCTTCAGACCTTGACTCAGAAATCTAAGAATTATGGGTAAACAAAGAATCAAAAAGGCTCTGAGTCAGTACCTGAAGAGTACAAACTGCTGCGTGAGCTCTAGTTTATCAGCTTTGACACCCACATTTTGACTGCTCAGTGAGGCCATTAGATTTTTTTCTAGAATTCTTTCTAGAGAATTGAGCTTTCTAGTTGCTATGTATCCATACATGCTCTTTTTTCCTTGTAGATCACCAGACTATCTCTTAAGGTTCTACAGAGTTTTTGCTGTTTTTCCTTTCAGAAACTGCCAAGTTTTGCTCGCAAAGCTTAGCTTTTCATTTCATGGGTATTAAAATAATGTGTTCTGCGCAGATTGGTTAATATCACAGCTTTGGCAGGTTTCCCACAATAGACACATTGAGGTTGGGAGTTATTATTTATGCTCATGAACAACTCTGGTCCAGACAGGGCTGTTGTTCATATCTTTAATGGGTCTTTTCACTAGGAAGAGTTTTTTTACTAATATGAAATCTGTCTCCCATCCAGAACGCAGAAATAGCTAGTTATAAAATTAGTAAATATACTCTACTCACCATCTATACATTTTCTTTTATTTTCTGGTAACTTTTCTTCCAGCTTATAGACTTTTTGTTGAAGCAAGTCAAGGAACAGTTGTCGGAATAATTTCAACATTGGTGGCAGTCATGGTGGCAATTTTGTTAACTCTAGCTGTTAAATCAAGAAGATGCATGTCTTCCTACACAGGTAATATCTTCCTACACAGGTAATATCTCATGGAGGATTTGGTCTTGTGCCTGGGTGTTCAGGTAGAGGTGTATCAAACATACACCTGCAGCTGCACACCTACACTGCTGCTAGGCATGTAAATAGATCTGAATTTTCTGCAGAGCTGTTTTTAAACTTTTTCAAAAATTCTTTAAAAGGTGCCCACATTTCCACCTAACTATTTACTTCTAGGAAATTATCCTGAGTTAAATGGTCAGAGACACAGCAAGCTATATACAAGCACATCCATTGAATCACACTGCCAGTTTTTCATTGAATTTTTTTTTTTTTTTTTGGCGGCACGCGGGCCTCTCACTGTTGTGGCCCTCCTGCCACGGAGCACAGGCTCCGGACGTGCAGGCTCAGCGGCCAAGGCCCACGGGCCCAGCCGCTCCGCGGCATGTGGGATCCTCCCGGACCGGGGCACGAACCCACGTCCCCTGCATTGGCAGGCAGACCCCCAACCGCTGCGCCACCAGGGAAGCCCCATTGAATATTTTAATAATAATAGGAAATTGATTAAATGAATTGAAAGTCACGTGTTATTTAAGTTGTTTTACTTCTCTTTTTTCTACTAAAGAGAAAATTTAGATATGGCAGTAAAATAATACACAGGATGATCTTAATTATCTTGCATTGAAAAATAGCTGAAAAGAAGCCAAAACGTTCTTTGCCTTTGTAGAGAGGTACTACACATCTCTCCACCACACATCTGCCCAGGTACTTCTATTATGTCTGGACTTCCTTAAGTCCCTGGGCTCTGTTTTCGCTTTCTTTGAGTTTCGCCTACAGTTGCTACTGCTCAAAACAGCATTGTCCTTGATTGGCTATTTTATTTTAATCCTTGTTAAGTTTTTAAAAAAACTTTTTTCTAAGTTTTCTGCTAGAAAACTGTGTTACTTATAGCAGTTTAATTACTTGTAGTAATTTAACATGATACATTAAGATTCCATGGTCACAGGACTTCTAAAAAGACTTTGCTTTTATCAACAGAATTAGATCTATGAAAAGCTTGAATTTACTTATTTCCACATTTTACAGATCAGAAAACTAGAATCCAGAAAGTTAACACAAATTCTAAGTAGGTATGTGAAACAGACTCTTATAAGCACCACCTAAGATGACCCAGCTAACCAGTGGCAGAGGTAGATCTAGGGCCCAAGAAGCTCTCCCTCCTTTCATAATCTCTCTGAGAAAGCTCTGAGTGTCCTGGGAGGTTTAAATAGATCGCATGTCCCTTATTTTGATTGATATTTGCCTATTGCCCCCGCTGAAGTTAGGGTTATTTGATATAGCAGACACCATTATTGAAGGTAGGATTTTAAGGGTGATAGTGAGTGAGAATTTCACCAGTTGTAGCCCTGTGATTGTTTATACTAATAGGTCAGTCCCCTTACTTGTTGCTCCTCTTAGCTGCCAGAAGTAGAAAAAGATGGGAGGTTGCAGGTAGTCTAGTTTGTCCCCCACATGTAAACCCTAATATGATGATACTTGTGATTAGATAGGTTCCAATTATAGGAGAGGGGGCACTACATACTGCTCAAGAAGGATAGTTTAGTTTCTATTTTGGAAGTGTGCACAAGTCCAACACAAAGTACCTGGCACACTCAAAACTGGACAAAGGGGAGCCCAGAAGATAGTGCATTCCCCCAGAACTTTGCTAGAAAACCTGAACTTGAAGGGACAAGAAGGAAGAGCAGTGCCCAAAACCTGCAAGGAGAGTCATGGAACAAGCTGTGTTGTGAGGGCGACCTTCACTCAGAGGACACAGATAGACTATAGGGAAGGAGCTAGAATAAGTACCTGATTTTGCCCTTCCCTCCCTTTGATCTCCACCCCAACTGGAAACCAGAGGGCAGAGAAGCCCTGCAGGTAGAACCCATCCAGGTCAGCTTCCCGTGGCAGAGAGCAGGATGGATCCTGATTCTGGAGGAGCAGTCAGGAGATATCAGAAAAAACCATGTTAGGGTATTGACCACTTAAAATAAAAAGAAGTTCCACAGTTCTGTAGTTAGGTGGGCTGAAAATATATTTCAAGCTGTTAAACTAAAAGTCACAAAACCTCCAGTTCCCAGGCTGTTGTTTCATATGTATGTTTTCTTTTTAAAGTCCCTTTTCTATTACTCTGTTTTAAAATGCCCTTAGTATAAATTATCCTAGATTTTAGCAAGACCCAGAAGGAAGGCCTTCCTTGAGAAATGACATTATGTCTCTTTTTCCTATCCATCACCACCTTGGCTATTTTCCATTGTTTATATCTGGTAGGAATCAGGCCAACAATCTTAAAGAGCCAGGAATTGCTGGCCTGGTTGAATTGCCTTTATCCCTGCTTTGGAGGACCCTGAAACAGCCATAAGAATTTACTGCTGTCTGTTTCTGATGAGGTATTTGTACATTAAATTCATTTTTAATGCTGTTTGTTGGAAAAAAGATTTGAAGAGGGGAGTAACTAACGTGCTTCTAATAATATAATTATACTGAGGAGGGAATAAGGGAGAATTTGGGTGTTTGCAAAGCCATGTTTTTTTAAGTTCTGTTTTTTCTTGTAGAGGGGCATCCATCTCCTGATCAGAGATCTAGACATGACGGTAATGCAGAAGAAAACGTGGTAAGGCATTTCCTTTATCAAACTATTTATAGTATAAGGATGCTACTGTAAAAGGTAATTGAAGTTTTGACTGATTCACACATCATCATGCAGGACTTTTACACAGAAAAAAAGGCAGGAGGGATTGCAGGATAATAGAATGGGGAAAAAAATACACTTAGGCTTTTCCCACTGTAATTAAACATGCTCTACTTGCTTAAATAAGTGTGTGCTCTTATCATCTCCAACTGTTATTTGTAAAGATGATTTCAAATGGCACTATGTACCAATATACTTATTATTCTGGTGGAAACATGGGATTGCATAGGAGTGGAAGGCAATACAGACAGATAAAGAAGAGAAAAGCAGACTATAATTTCTGCCCGGACTCAGACTGCTGACCTTCTACACTTTTCCAGTCACTTCTAGGTTCCTTCAGAACTTATAATTCACTTACGAATTATAGCGTGATTGCATACTTCCTTTTTGCTGCACACCTTTTATTATTTATGAGTTCCATTAATCAGAGTAAATAACAGTAAAGAGTGGGGTAAACTTGTTTTTCTACTTGTTAAAATCTCAGGAACATCTAGCAGGAAAATTAAAATTAACTGATAAGACCCAGACTTCATAACTACTTATTTTATAACTGTCTCATGGATCTTGGATTACAGATGCAAACAGTAGCTTAAAGCTCCCTCCTTCCAAAAAACAAAACAAAACACTACCAGCATTTAAATACTTAAGATAAAAATGGTTATTCTGACATGAACAACGGTGATTTTGAGTCCATTTTTCTTGGTTCTAGGCTCTTTCAGAATATTCATTCAGTAAAGGAAGTGAAGACAGGAATTGACAACACAGCACAAACATCCTTAATATCCAGTGATCTCACCTCCCCTTTCTTCACTGCGATTCCAGCAATGGCTTGTCATGACCCAACAATTCTGTCATTGCAAAGACTTGTGATAGTGGAAAGAGAATAATTACCTTCTTTCTCACGCCCTAAGAATCATTCATTGACCCCCCTACATGCATCAAGATTATAAATGCCTGGATGCCAAGGGTTCCAGTTCAGCTTGGAAAAGAACTATCCCATTCATTTACATTCCTGCTGCAATCAGCCCAGGAGGCTACAGTGAGGTTTCCTCCAAGAACTCAGAAGAAATGAATCACTAAGAGATGATTCAAAATCTGATTAACTAATGATGGGTGAGTGGTAGAAGCAGAAGTCACTATAGTGAAAAGGTGAAAAACCAGAGCCTAGAAAACAGGCAATGGATTTGCTAAAGTATTGTACTCTAGTTTTATATGAATGGTTAATATCAGTTTAATCAACTAGATTTAGTATGGTGAGTCTTAGGAGCCCCAAAGAGTAAGAATGTCAGTATCTCTAAGACTACCCAGGGTGCAAAGGGCCCTATCAACTCAAGAATTGACATCTCTGGGGTTGGGTTGTACCCTTCAACACCAGGGTTTGCATAGCCTAGCGACCCTAGTTATGAAGATAATTTGATTTACTCTTTTGGCTCAGTTGTCATATTGTTAATCAGATTTCTAATAAATTTAGATTTTCATAAATTTTATGCAAGGAGAGAATGGATAATTCAGCTGACTAGATGATCTGTTCTCAATTTCATCATCAATATAAAAGAAAGAAAGCCAAACCAAGACTTTTGTTAACTTATTCAAGTTTTTAACCGTATAGCTTACAGGAGAAAACCAATCCTCAATTGTGTATTAATACTATCTGATCGAGAGAGAGGCATGGACATATATACACTACCAAATATAAAATAGATAGCTAGTGGGAAGCAGCCGCACAGCACAGGGGCTCGGGGCTTTGTGACTGCCTGGAGGGGTGGGATAGGGAGGGTGGGAGGGAGGGAGATGCAAGAGGGAAGAGATATGGGAACATATGTATAACTGATTCACTTTGTTATAAAGCAGAAACTAACACACGATTGTAAAGCAATCATACCCCAATAAAGATGTTAACAACAAAAAATACTACCTGATCCAATTTTCTTTATCAGCTGGACTTCTTTCACAATCTCCTACTTTGCACATAGCTCTGTTGACTTCAGGTATTTGCTACAATGTTGTGACCAGTGTTCATCACAAACGGTAAAGTATTAAGGACGCTTAAAGAAAAACTTTAGAAAAAAGCACATAAGACACTTGGTGAGGAGAAAGTGCTCAGAATTGCTCTAGTCTACTTACGATGATGAGGGTGATAAATTTAAAGACCAAAGCCAACACATTGAGGTTGGTGGACAAGAAGGACTCTGTGTCCTTCAACGCCGCTGAGTCCCTGAATTAATCTTAGAGCCACCTGTGTGAAGCAGGTTGGATCAGAGAGGCAGACTGCTGAGAACGACAGAATAAGGATTTATTATAGAGATTCAACATTATAGAACTGTGGGCACTGGTGAAGAAGTCTGCACCAGGCTGTCCCCTCTGCATCTGGTGCTGGGCCTGAGGTCGCTGTCGGTCAGTTGTGCCAGCGGTCAGGAAGGACAGCTGGACACGGACTGAGGATGGACTGGAATTTATAAGAACAAACTGGACCCCATGCAGTCTCTCAGGGCCTCCAAAGTCAACACTGTGAGTGACCTGTAAGATGATAAGCTGGCGCCCATTGCCATGGAGCTGCATACCTGCCGGGCGAGGATTCTGACAGGAGCTGAGAGAGCTGTGGGTCCACAGAGCTGTGGCCCATCCCAGCTAACTCACCTTTTTAGCCTGGAGTAATAGTTGCCAGCTATCACTGTGCCTGGGGCCATACAATGACCTTATGAGCACAGAAAGAACCCAGCTGTTCCTTCACTTCTTCCTCTCAAATCTGGTGCATATTTCTCTTGTGACCAACTTTAATCCAGAACCACACAGGAAACGTACCTCCAGTTTAGCCAAACTGGTACAATACAAAGACAGCATACCAGCTATCACTGATCTGAACATCTTGAGTGGGTGTTGTTTCAGTATTGCACAAGTATGTAGCCTACATGGTTGTCCAGCAGGAGGGTTTTACCTACAAGTGCAAAATGACCAACTATGACTATATGTAAATCACTATAGAATGCTAAGAAAAGCCTGTTGTCTCCCACCATTAGTGGCTAAAAATATAGACTCACGGATGTAGAAATAAGGCCAGCAGAGTTCACTAACTTCAGTAATAACCATTTACCAATATGCCTTAGTCCCCGTGGACCATAACATAGCTCATGTCTTCTGTGAATATTACTCATTAAGAAGCAATATGGACAAAGTATTTTTTTCACATCAGAATTTAAAAGATTCTTGCATCTATTTAATTTTTCATGGGAAATGTTTACTTGCCTCTGAGGAAAGTTAAAAAAAAAATCAAAAAAATCCCCACTACACTTGGAAGCAACAATATTCCCTTTTATTATTTCATTTTCTGATCACCTTGTTTAAACTACTTTTGACACAGCATAAACATGTTTTTTAAAATGTCTGTTTCACAAATGAGTGGGTATATCAAAACAGAGACTTATAGATACAGAGAACAAACTAGTGGTCACCAGTAGCGGGAGGAGTAGAGGGAGGGGAAGGGGATTAAGAGGTACAAACTACTAGATATAAAATAAATGAGACACAAGGATGCGATGTACAGCACAAGGAATATAACCAACATTTTATAATAACTTTAAATGGAGTATAATTTACAAATGTCGACTCACTGTGTTGTACACCTGAAACTAATATAACGTTGCAAATCAACTATACTTCAGTAAAAAAATTAAGTGTATGTTTCAAATGCAACTTAAGTTTCTGGCCATAAAACAGTACCTCCTTGTACTTCTCCAGCCTCTGTCCTTTATAAACAAGGACTGGTCATTCTTCATGAACCTGAAAAACAGAATATCAGCGTGTTCTGTGAGATTCCTGTGACTTTCATTAGTGCAACGCATACCAAGAACCAAACCCAGTGCTTTCCAGACATAAGCAGGACTTAGCCAACTCTTCATTAGCTTCAAAGGGAGGCAGGGAATTGAGGCAATTGTCTGCATCAGAGAAAGCAGACACCGGTAATTCACCGCAAGGGTGTGCTCGGTCACTCAATTTTTTGCTCGCCTTGCATTGCCAGCGAAGGCAGCACCCTCTATAGAAGACCCCATGAGGGAGACGCTAGCCACATCACCGATTTGCTCCACAGACCTGATGCACAGTTCTATGAGAAAACCTTTTCCTTTGGTTTATGACAGTTGAAGGAATTTCAGGCTCTCCTCCTGTGAATGGAAAACAGTTAGTCATTGCACTGCCAAGGACGATTTTCCTATTCATCTCTGGCCTCTCAGAAGCAATTTCTGCTTCACTCATTTTATTCTTTGTTGGAAATAATCGTGACAAAGTCGAATGCATTACATCTGTTTCCGAGGCCCTTCGACCTCCTGCAGCTGAGTGCAATTGCCGCACGTGTGAAGTATTTCCCTAAACAAATCCATTACGTGGGGTTGCTGGGCAGGTTCTGCACAGAAGACCCCAATCTGAGGCCATAACACTTCTCAAACTGAGGCCAGAGTTCAAACCACTTAACTGGATCTCTCCATATAGGCCTTATCCCTGAGACAACTACTTGCTCATCGATAGGAAATTTCTGGAGTCTGCAAATGTCTCATATTTCTCATATTTGGATCCAAATATATTCAATATAACCAACCAGTCTCTTCTTCAAAAGAGATCCTTCGCCCTCCCATAAGGTAGTATTTATTATTGGCTGCCCTATCTACTTATCTTGAACGGTTATTAGTAATTCATTTATAATAAATAAGAAAGACCAAGCATGTACCATGTTTTTAAAACTGAAATGATGGTGCCTGTGCTAAGTACTCTGTAGGCATTCTGTGGAGGGTATCCAACCCCCTTTAATTCTCTCCTTCTAAAGCCAGATCACACTTTAAAACTGTGTTTCTGGGAACAATCTCAATGAGGAAGCTTAGGCTGCTCTAACTGCCACAGTATGAAGTTTGTGTCCCCGCCCACAAAATTCATAGGTTGAAATCCTAACCCCCATGGTGATGGTAGTAGGAGATGGGGCCTTTGGGAAGTGATTAGGTCATGAGGGTTGAGTCCTCGTGACTGGGATTAATGCCCTTATGCAAAAAAGACCCCAGAGAGCTTCTTCCTTCTCTTTCTACCATGGGAGGTTACAGTGGGAAGAGGGCCATCTACAGGGAAGTGGCCCTCACCAGATACCAAATCTGCCAGCACCATGACCTTGGACTTCCCAGCCTCCAGAACCATGAGAAATATTTGTAGTTTGTAAGCCATTCAGTCTCTGGTATTCTGTTATGGCAGCCTGAACAGACTAAGATAATGACGCTGCCAAGCCTACAGTTTAGTGCTGTCACTCTATCACTTTACCAGGAAAATTAGGGCACTGGCCCCTACTATTGGATCGGAACTAAAGTTTGGGGGACCAGAGATGTAGACAGTCCCTTTCTCTGTTTTAGGGAAGATAGCTAAAAAGCAGGACTCTTGCATTTGTTCTCATTCATGGCCTCAATTTTTTTTTTTTTTTTTTTTTTTGCTGTACGCAGGCCTCTCACTGTTGTGGCCTCTCCCGTTGCGGAGCACAGGCTCCGGATGCGCAGGCTCAGCGGCCATGGCTCATGGGCCCAGCCACTTCGAGGCATGTGGGATCCTCCCGGACCGGGGCACGAACCCGTGTCCCCTGAATCGGCAGGAGGACTCTCAACCACTGCGCCACCGGGGAAGCCCCATGGCCTCAATTTTAAACGTGTCCGCCTGGGGTCTCCATATCAATATGATACAAAGTCACATACTTGCCCACAATAGAAGGAGTTCACTTAGAATTTCAAGCAGATCCATCTGTGCTTCTTTAATCATCTTTGCTCCCTGGACTTCTGACGGTTCTACCCACATGAATCTAGGCCCTGGAGCTCAGAGCCTGCACATTAACCTAGAATTAAGCATTTGAGAATCGTAAATACAGTGTGCATCCTACTCAAATGCTTAGTGCTTCATACTCCCTGGACAAGTAGAATTAATAAATATAGGAAAATTTTGTCGGAACCAGTTTTTGTTTTTTTTTTTTTTTGCGGTACGCGGGCCTCTCACTGCTGTGGCCTCTCCTGTTGCGGAGCACAGGCTCCAGACGCGCAGGCTCAGTGGCCATGGCTCACGGGCCCAGCCACTCCACGGCATGTGGGATCTTCCCAGACCGGGGCACGAACCCATGTCCCCTGCATCAGCAGGCAGACTCTCAACCACTGCGCCACCAGGGAAGCCCCAGAACCTGTTTATTGATGTAGTTTTTTAAAAGCCTTTAAGAGAGAAACAAGAAATTTCCATGTGAAGACATGAACCTGAAACACAAATGCTTTAAAAGTTAGAGCAGAGCTGAATATCTGACGTACCTTTTCCCCAAACTCTTTTGCTTTAATCTTGAGCTTATTAACTTGAGATTCGGCTATCTCTGCCCTTTACTTAGCTTCATTCTACTCATGTTGCTGCTTCTTATACTTGGAAAGTTATGGACTAGCTTCTGCTTCCTGTAAAAATAAAAAATGAAAAAAAAAAAGGAATCCCTGAGCCTACTAGTCATATTTTTGTTCTTCTCTGACGTTAGAAAGTTGAAAAATGTGTGAAAGGAATCTAAACTTCTGAGTATTGAATGGAATATCATATATTGGTATGATATATATGGATTCAGATTCCTAGCAGGCACCAGATCCATTTTATAACTGTTGTTCCCTGGAAATTTAGAACATGGTCAGCACTTTCCACAAACTGGATGTAGTCCAGCTTTCACAGATTTGGTATGTGATAGATTAACCACAGTTATTTGTTTTGTAATCAGTTTAACATCCTATTCTGGGTAGAGGGAGCTTGTCTTTACAATTATAAGGGTCAACAGGTAATTATTAGACATAGCAGTATTTTAGCCCAAAGCATTTAAATAATCAATTCAAAACCCTTCAAGATATATTATTATTAGGCATAAGCCATTATATATGGTGCTTATCAATTACATTCCATGGAGCTACGGCTACTAGCCAGGGTTGACAAGTACATTTCAAGAGATGGTAGTTTTGGCCACAGTTACGTCCAGGCGCATCAGATAAAAGGACTGTGGGCTGCATTTATGCTCAAGCAAGGTTTTAGAGTAAGGAAAGCCCTAGGGTGAGGAAGGTCTCAGGGTGATTACGCAACCAAAAATTTTCCATCTTTACATGATACCATGCTGTTATTTGGCTCATTTTTTTGCAATGTACATGTTTGGGCATAACCACAAGGTCAAGGGAGAGAGCTCTGTCTCCCTGAAGGGAAAAGTTGCACAAATTTTAACGATAGGTAATAATTCTAGTATGAGAAAAAACAGAATGAGCGGACTAAGCTGAGCTGGTCCTCTCTGACAAGCTGCTCATCTAGCTTAGGGCCACATATCTCTATTAATCAAAAGTAAATGGGGGGGAGGGGAAGATGACAGAAGAGTACGACACGGAGATCACCTTCCTCCCCACAGATACATCAGAAATACATCTAAAGGTGGAACAACTCCTACAGAACACCTACTGAATGCTGGCAGAAGACCTCAGACCTCCCAAAAGGCAAGAAACTCCCCACGTACCTGGGTAGGGCAAAAGAAAAAACAAAGACAAAAGAATAGGGATGGGATCTGCACCAGTGGGAGGGAGCTGTGAAGGAGGAAAGGTTTCCACACACTAAGAAGCCCCTTCGCGGGCGGAGACTGCGGGTGGCGGAGGCGGGAAGCTTCGGAGCCGCAGAGGAGAGCGCAGCAACAGGGGTGCAGAGGGCAAAGCGGGGAGATTCCCGCACAGAGGATCGGGGCCGACCGGCACTCACCAGCCCGAGAGGCTTGTCTGCTCACCTGCCGGGGCAGGCGGGTCTGCGAGCTGAGGCTCCGGCTTCAGTCGGAGCGCAGGGAGAGGACTGGGGTTGGCTGCGTGAACACAGCCTGAAGGGGTTAGTGCACCACGGCTAGCTGGGAGGGAGTCCAGGAAAAGGTCTGGAGCTGGCGAAGAGGCAAGAGACTTTCTCTTCCCTCTTTGTTTCCTGGTGCGCGAGGAGAGGGGATTAAGAGCGCTGCTTAAAGGAGATCCAGAGACGGGCGCAAGCCGCGGCTGACAGCGCGGACCCCAGAGATGGGCATGAGACGCTAACGCTGCTGCTGCCGCCACCAAGAAGCCTGTATGCGAGCACAGGTCACTATCCACACCTCCCTTCTGGGGAGGCTGTGCAGCCCGCCACTGCCAGGGTCCCGGGATACAGGGACAACTTCCCGGGGAGAACACACGACGTGCCTCAGGCTGGTGCAACATCATGCTGGCCTCTGCCACCGCAGGCTTGCCCCACACACCGTACCCCTCCCTCCCCCCGGTGAGTGAGCCAGAGCCCCCGAAACAGCGGCTACTTTAACCCCGTCCTGTCTGAGCGGAAAAACAGACGCCCTCCGGGGACCTACATGCGGAGGTGGGGCCAAATACAAAGCTGAGCCCCTGGGAGCTGTGAGAACAAAGAAGAGAAAGGGAAATCTCTCCCAGCAGCCTCAGAAGCAGTGGATTAAAGCTCCACAATCAACTTGATGTACCCTGCATCTGTGGAATACATGAATAGACAACGAATCATCCCAAATTGAGGAGGAGGTCTTTGAGAGCAAGATTTATGATTTTTTCCCCTTTTCCTCTTTTTGTGAGTGTGTATGTGTGTACTTCTTTGTGAGATTTTCTCTGCATAGCATTCCTTCCACCATCTGTCCTAGGGTTCTATCCATCAGTTTTTTCTTTTTAATTTTTTTCTTAATAATTAATTTTAATAACTTTATTTTACCCTTCCTTCCTTCCTTCCTTCCTTCCTTCCTTCCTTCCCTCCCTCCCTCCCTCCTTTAGATAACGAATCATCCCAAATTGAGGAGGTGGACTTTGAGAGCAAGATTTATGATTTTTTCCACTTTTCCTCTTTTTGTGAGTGTGTATGTGTATGCTCCTACATGAGATTTTGTCTGTATAGCTTTGCTTCCACCATTTGTCCTAAGGTTCTATCCGTCCATTTTTTTTCTTAATAATTATTTTTTAATTTAATAACTTTATTATATTTTATTTTATTTTACTTTACCTTCTTTCTTTCTTTCCTTTTTCCTTTCCTCCTTTCTTCCTTCCTTCCTCCCTCCCTCCCTCCCTCCTTCCTTTCTTTCTTTATTCTTTCCTTCCTTCCTTCTTTCTTTCTTCCTTCCTTCCTCCCTTTCTTTCTTTCTTTTTTCTTCCTACTTTACTAATTCTTTCTCTCTACCTTTTATCCTGAGCCGTGTGGATATAAGGCTCTTGGTGCTGCAGCCAGGAGTCAGTACTGTCCCTCTGAGGTGGGAGAGCCAACTTCAGGACACTGGTCAACAAGAGACCTCCCTGCTCCACATAATATCAAATGGCGAAAATCTCCGAGAGACCTCCATCTCAATGCCAGCACCCAGCTTCACTCAATGACCAGCAAGCTACAGTGCTGGATATCCTATGCCAAACAACTAGCAAAACAGGAACACAACCCCACCCATTAGCAGAGAGGCTGCCTAAAATCATAATAATTCCACAGACACCCCAAAACACACCACCAGATGTGGACCTGCCCACCAGAAAGACAAGATCCAGCCTCATCCACCAGAACACAGGCACTAGTTGCCTCCACCAGGAAGCCTACACAACCCACTAAACCAACGTTAGCCACTGGGGACAGACACCAAAAACAATGGGAGCTACGAACCTGCAGCCTGCAAAAAGGAGACCCCAAACACAGTAAGATAAGCAAAATTAGAAGACAGGAAAACACACCACAGATGAAGGAGCAAGATAAAAACCCACCAGACCTAACAAATGAAGAGGAAATAGGCAGTCTACCTGAAAAAGAATTCAGAATAATGGTAGTAAAGATGATCCAAAATCTTGGAAATAGAATAGACAAAATGCAAGAAACATTTAACAAGGACCTAGAAGAACTAAAGATGAAACAAACAATGATGAACAACACAATAAATGAAATTAAAAATACTCTAGATGGGATCAATAGCAGAATAACTGAGGCAGAAGAATGGATAAGTGACCTGGAAGATAAAATAGTTGAAATAACTACTGCAGAGCAGAATAAAGAAAAAAGAATGAAAAGAAC